TGCACCCGCCCGTGCCCCCCGTCCCGCCCCGGCACAACTCCAGCCCTCAGCTACCAAAACTGCCACCAAAGACTTACAAAAGGGAGCTCTCCCACCCTCCTTTGCACAGACTGTCTTTGCTAGAAAATGCAGAAACTCCTCAATGACCTTTGCCATAGTAGTCATTGACACTGGAATAGTATTTGTAAAGTTTCCTCTTTTTTTTTTTTTTTTTTTTTTTTTATTTATTCGAAAAGAAAAAAAAAGGCGGTGTATTTTAGTATTTTCACAAATTATGCTCTTAAAGTGCTGCTGATCAAAAAAAAAAAAAGGTTTAAATTGGAAAAAATTCAGATGACACACACACAAACACTCCAGCCTGTGTGGTTGGGCAGCATTACCCTCAGGTGAGCAGCAGCATTGCCTTGGTTCACATCCTCAGTGCCGACAGTTCTGCCAGGACACAAAAATAGACCTTTTGCACTGTAAAATACACTAAACCAATTTTAAACTGACATCACTGAATTGCACTGAGCCAAAAAAGAAAAAAAGGTGCGTCTGTGGAATTTTTTTCAAAAAAATTTAAGCACCAGTGGCCTTTTTTTTTTAAGTTAAAAAACCCAACCATGGGACGCTCAACAACACGAGGATATGAAGTGTCACCGATTTGAAACCTCTGGCTAAGCCTGGAGGTTCCTGAGTGACAGCTCCTGTTCTGGGATATTTTCATGCCGTGTCTTAATCGCCATTGATTTGCTGCTGAAGACAAAAACTAGGTTGAAATCTAAATACCAAAATATTCAGTTGGCCTTGGTTATTTGGAGAAAGGATGAACAAGGAGTACCCATCTGGGATATTGGGAAGGATCCCAAGTACATCCTGTTCAGATGTGCCTTTTTATTTTGGTAGGCGAAGGTGTCTTAAGCTAAAGAATTTATCTACTGTTGTGGAGAACAAAACTATGCCTGTGTCTGTACAATTGTTTATATTGTATATTTACATATATTCTAATCACCTGTATAAATTGAAGTTGACTTTGAGGCCTATAATACAGTTGCTACTCCTGTGATCGTATCCAGCCAGAAGCGTTTCCTCTGGCTTGGGAACAGTCTTGCCTTCCAAACCTAACAACTTTTCTGTAGATCTACACTTAACTTAATCGTGAATCCATTTTGGAAATTGGTAGCATTTAAACCAGCAAACACTTAAAAGCTTTATTAAACTTTTTGAACTGATAAGTGAATGGAACTTTTCTTTGCCAGTCGAACGCCGTGTTTGAACTGGTGCGAGAGTGAGTCTGTTTTACTGGTAGTACTGTAGCAGCATTTACAAAGTGGCCTTCAGAAGCCACATTTTATTTACTGGTCTGTGGCCTTTTACTGTGCTTTGTATCAGAGTTCTTAACAAGATTAATAAATCACCCCAGTCTTAATTTTTAAGAGCTTGAGCGGTGCGTGTTCCTTGTAAGGACAAGGTTGGGAATTGCATTTGGGACAATACAAAATGCCCCAGTTTTCCATGCTGCTGGTCTTCAGTCTTTGGCAGCTGGGCCCATCCCAGGCTTCCAAGTCACACTCCAGGTTCTCATCATCCTGCCTGTATTGCTCCCACTGTCTTGGCCGTTCCCTCTGGAAATGGAGAGGAGGATATGTCTGGGAGGGATGTTAATTAGAAACATCCTGAGTTAGAAGGGACCCACCAGGATCATCGAGTCCAAATCCTGGCCCTGCACAGGACCACCCCAAGAATCCCACCATTTTCTCCTGGGAAGATGCATTTTGCCATCTATCTCTTCGACAGTCTTCTCCAACTGCCTGTCCCCTTCGTGTTCCTTTCCTGAGGAAGAAAAGAGGGCATCTATTCATGCAACTTTTTATAGGAGAGCTGCTTCATTTTGAAAAAATAAGGTTCAAGAAGTCCCAAATTTGAGATGCATGAACTGGGAGTGCAGGTAGGAAACAGATGATGCCTCAACCAAGTAAAATTCGTTGCCTAGTTCTTTGCATTAACTCTTTTGAATTTGTCATCAGCAGCTACTGCTAAAGAAGGAGAAAAATATTTTTTTAAGACTTCTGTGTGTTGTGGAAGAGGAAAAAATTCTCCCCCAAATTTTAGAATATATAGGTGTCAGCTTAATGCCTTCCTGTAAAAGTGCTTATGCCAGAACCATTTTCAATATCCCGTAGGAAAACATAACATGGCCATGGAAGTGGTCAAACACGGTCAGATTCCCACCAGCGCGGTTCAAGGAATGCCAAGGGAGCAATAAATTAACTTCTCAGTTACTTCATAATTAGAGGGATAGGTAAAAAGAACAACAAAAAAATGCCAGAGGGGAAAAATGTCAAGTTTGGGTTTGAAGTTGGCTTGTGTGGGAAAAGGCAGTTCCTTCAGAAAAGCACAGATCAACAGATGGAATGTGAAGGCATCTAATAGCAAAAGAAACATCTTTGTAGTTGTTTTCAGTGATCCTATTTTGAGTTCCAGAATTTCAGCACTTTTGTCTGCTCTGGAGCTGGAATAATTGGGGTCCTATGGCACCACTAAACAGATGAAAAAACAGGAGGGACAAAAGGAACCTTTTTTTATTACCTTTTTTTTCCAGATTTACAATTTTCCACCACAAGTCTGAATACACCATTCAGAATCCCTTGGAAATGCAGGGAGTGAGTGTTCTAGAATCACAGAATTCCCTGAGTTGGAAGGGATCCACAAGGATCACCCAGTCCAACCCCTGGCCCTGC